GCCCGAGCAGCAAAGCGCTGCGAAGGCCTATTGTAATTGTGTCGTTTCTTATTAGGCCCGAGCAGCTAAGCGCTGCGAAGGCCTATTGTTATTGTGTCGTTTCAAATTTTTTTCCGTCAAAGAGCGCTAATTTGGAGGCCTTAACATATTCGAAAACTCACCATATTTGACCCAAAATTGTCCCCAGCGAGAAATGCGAGGTATTTAATGGAACCAAAAGTGGGCGTGGCCAAACTGCTCCACAGCGCCCCCTAACGTGAGATATGACAACTGGTAAGTCCTAGAGAGCTGAAATTTGGTACACATGTAGAACCCACAGAATCAAGAAAAAAAGTCTCTTGGAGGTATGTCTTAAACCCAACAGGAAGTCGGCCATTTTGGGTCAAAGGGTCAATTTTGGCCGTTTTTCGCTTTTCGTACACGGCGAATTTGAACGAACTCCTCCTAGGGATTTCGCTCAATCGGTTTCAAACTTGCGCCATTTTGCTCAGTAGGCATGGGGGACCAAAAGTTATCAAAACGGTGCAAACCGACGCATGTTGAGGGGGCGGGGCCGGACCTCAAAATTATGCTTCACGCCAAAAATTTCCAAACGCTACAACTTTCACGTTGAAAAACAGAATTGCACCAAATTTGGCACGAGTCATCCCTGTCCAATGCCCGACGATACCCTGAGGTCAAATTTTGACGTCATCAAAGCCCCGCCCCCTGAGAACAGGAAGTGACTTTTTTTGCTTGGAATGCTCCTTCCCTGACACTCTGGACCCAATCACGATGATCCTGTGTTAGAAGGCAGACAACAAGTTGGTCTGACTTGCTTTGAAGCGCAAAGCGTTTCCGCTGGAGGATGTGGGCGTGGCGGCGTGGCGAAGTCAGAAGTGACGCCGTGACAATACGTTTGGCTCTAAATTCCACAGATTTGATCCGAGGTTCATCAAAATCACTACGATCGATCATTGCCCGCCCCTTGAACAGGAAGCCATGATAATTGCGCAATAGCCTCTATAGCGCCCCCTAGAATATTTTAAAACCTCGGCCCCAAGACGTTTTTCGACCGATAAATCTGAAACTCGGTGAACATGTGTATCTTCTCAGGACCTATGAAAAAGTCTCTTGGAGCTCAGGTCCAAAACCAACAGGAAGTCGGCCATTTTGGGTCAAAGGTTAATTTTTGGGCGTTTTTAATGGCGAATTTTAACGAACTCCTCTTAGGGATTTTGAAGGATTGCCTTCAAACTTGGTTAATAGACCTTTAAGACATTGGAGAGTAAAAGTTATCAAAAGCTTTCGGTTTCGTTTTGTTAAAGGGGCGTGGCCAGGCCTCAAAGTTGAGCTTCACGCCATAAATTTCCAAACGTTATAACTTTCAACTTGAATGACAGATTTGCACCAAATTTGGCACGAGTCATCCCTGTCCCATGCCCGACGATACCCTGAGGTCATATTGTGACGTCATCAAAGCCCCGCGCCCTCAGAACAGGAAGTGACTTTGTTTAATTGGAATGCTCCTTCTTTGACACCCTTAATCTAATCAGGATGATCCTGTGTTAGAAGACAGATAACAAGATGGTCTGACTTGATTTAAACTACAAACAGTTATAGCTGGAGGATGTGGGTGTGGCGCCATGGCGAATTAAAAAGAGACGCCGTTGCAATACGTTTGGCTCTAAATTGCACAGATTTGAGCCCAGATGAACCAAAATCACTATGATTGATCATTATCCACCTTTGAACAGGGTTCCATGATAAGTGGCCAAGAGCCTGAACAGCGCCACCTACATTCTTCTTACAGTTATATCTCAGTGATACAACATCCAATCTGAACCAGATTTTTGGTGCGTCATTACTGAGAACTGATGGACATTTTAGTTTTGTTGTTTAATATTTGACTCAAGTGCGCCCCCTAAAATTATTCAAACTGTTTTGTCTCAGTGATATATCAGCCGATCTGCACCAAATTTATGGTGTGTTATTATTTAGCCCTGGTGGACACAGTAGTAATGTTTTTTAAATTTTGACTCTACAGCACCCCCTACAATATAGCAAGAGTTATATCTCAATGATAAATCATCCGATCTGCACCAGATTTTTGTGGCATAATGTGTGACCATGTCTACACACATTGTTATTGTAGTTTAATATTTGACTCAAGTGCGCCCCCTAGATTATTCAAACTGTTATATCTCAGTGATATGTCATCCGATGTAGACCAGATTTTTGGTGTGTGATAAGTGAGAACTTAAACACGCAATGGTATTGTTGTTTTACTTTTGACTCAAGTGCGCCCCATAAATAATTCAAACTGTTATATCTCAGTGATATATCGTATGATCTGCACCAGATTTTTGGTGCTGGACTAGTGAGGACTTATGGACACAGTTGTGTTGTTGTTTAATATTTGACTCAAGTACGCCCCCTAGATTTTTTAAACTGTTATATCTCAATGATATATCATCTGATCTGCACCAGATTTTTGGTGTATTATTATGTAGTCCTGCTGGACACATTAGTAATGTTTTTTAACTTTTGACTCTAGAGCGCCCCCTATAATATTCTAACACTTGTATCTCAATGATATACCATACGATCTGCACCAGATTTTGGGTGCATCATTAGTAAGCAGTTATGGACACATTAGTAATGTTTTTTAACTTTTGACTCTAGAGCGCCCCCTATAATATTAAAATAGTTATATCCGCGGTCGCAGCTGATGTCAAAGGTTCGGCGAATGCACATTCCGGAGAACGGGCGCGTGACGGTAGCGTGAGCGTTCTCGATGGCGACCGGGAAGAGTCGCTGGAGTTCCCGCGGTCGCGGTAAGGCCGCAGCGGCACTTCGCTGCGAGGGCCTTCAACGCTGCTTGCAGCTTTAATTAGGCCCGAGCAGCAAAGCGCTGCGAAGGCCTATTGTAATTGTGTCGTTTATTAGGCCCGAGCAGCAAAGCGCTGCGAAGGCCTATTGTAATTGTGCTGTTTCTTATTATTATTATTAGGCCCGAGCAGCAAAGCGCTGCGAAGGCCTATTGTAATTGTGTCGTTTCTTATTATTCTTCTTCTTTTTCTTCTTCTTCTTCTTATTCTTTTCCAAGTTTAAGCGCTTATTTGGAGGGGTTAGCATATTGGAAACCTAGCCAAACTTTACCCAAAATTGTCCCCCGCGAGAAATAGTAGTATGATAATGGAACCAAAAGTGGGCGTGGCCAAACTGCTCTACAGCGCCCCCTAACGTGAGATATGACAACTGGTAAGTCCTAGAGAGCTGAAATTTGGTACATATGTAGAACCCACCGAATCATGAAAAAAAGTCTCTTGGAGGTATGCCTTAAACCCAACAGGAAGTCGGCCATTTTGGGTCAAAGGGTCAATTTTGACCGTTTTTCACTTTTCGTACACGGCGAATTTGAACGAACTCCTCCTAGGGATTTTGCTCAATCGTTTTCAAACCTTCGCCATTTTGCTCAGTAGGCATGGGGGACCAAAAGTTATCAAAACGGTGCAAACCGACGCATGTTGAGGGGGCGGGGCCAGGCCTCAAAGTTGAGCTTCACGCCATAAATTTCCAAACGTTATAACTTTCTACTTGAAAACCAGATTTGCACCAAATTTGGCATGACTCATCCCTGTCCCATGCCCGACGATACCCTGAGGTCAAATTTTGACGCCATCAAAGCCCCGCCCCCTCAGAACAGGAAGTGACTTTTTTTGCTTGGAATGCTCCCTCCCTGACACTCTTGACCCAATCAGGATGATCCTGTGTTAGAAGGCAGATAACAAGTTGGTCTGACTTGCTTTGAAGCGCAAAGCGTTTCCCCTGGAGGATGTGGGCGTGGCGGCGTGGCGAAGTCAGAAGTGACGCCGTTACAATACGTTTGGCTCTGAATTCCACAGATTTGATCCGAGGTTCATGAAAATCACTATGATCGATCATTGCCCGCCCCTTGAACAGGAAACCATGATGATTGCGCAATAGCCTCTCTAGCGCCCCCTAGAATATTTTAAAACCTCAGCCCCGAGCCATTTTTCGACCGATAAATCTGAAACTCGGTGAACATGTGTATCTTCTCAGGACCTATGAAAAAGTCTCTTGGCGCTCCAGTCCAAAACCAACAGGAAGTCGGCCATTTTGG